TGAAAATCAAAATAATAAAACTAAGATTCACTTTAAAGGTTGAATAGATTTATCGGGGGAAAAATAAGGGACTCATGTGTAAGAGGAGGAAATAGTCAATAACCTCTCTTTAATTTATTCAAGAATTAGAGCTAGTAAAATATGAAGAGTAGACCTATAGGAATCAAGACTTTAAAGCAGGAGTATCCAACCCTGGCAACTTTAAGACCTGTGAACTTCAACTTCCAGAAATCCCCATGCTGACTAGGGAATTCTGGGAGTTGAAGTCCACAAGTCTTAAAGTTGCCTTGCCTCATTGAAGTGAACTTCTCACATGTTCCAACAATTTGGAAAACACCAGGTTGAAAAAGGCTATCTTGGAGAAGCAGATCTTTCATAATTTTAGCTAATAGACCATCTTGGTTTCTCAGTGTATTGAATGTTTGCCTTCCCCCACAAACACATATAGAGTTTTGCCAGCCTTAGTGTGACATGTTTGTTCATACATACCCCAGTCACTTTTCTGCAAACAGGCTTTTCTTGCTTATGGATGAATCATCAGACATACAATGCAAAGGTTTGTACGCTCCCTATCATTTAGGAAAAATCTGTTTCTACAAATATTGGCAGGAATGACCTGTATAGATTGATACCTTGATATTATGATCTCAAGTTAGTAGATTGGCCTTGAAGAATCCTGGGTTCAAGTCCACCTCATTATAAGTGATATGACACTTGCTAAATTGTCTAAAATTATAAAGGAATATCAAGCCAATGTTGGAAATGTGAAAAGAAGGGATTTATTTACTTATGTTTATCCTGCTTTTATTATTTATACAAATAACTGTCAAGGTTCCGACTGATTAATCCAACCAAGCAAACTACCTTCAAGACATTCTGATCTCTTAATCAGTCGGAACCTTGACAGTTATTTGTATAAATAATAAAAGCAGGATAAACATAAGTAAATAAATCCCTTCTTTTACAAGTACCACATCTTTATTTGAAGAGCTGGACTTTTATAAGATCATCTATGTTTTCTTTACCTAGAACCCTCTCAAGAGATCTTGCACAGATGTGCCACACGGCTAGACTATGATCGCAACAAGCATCACTTTCCTTGGAAAGGAACATGTTCATTTTTCTGAGGTCCCTTTTGAGAAACACAGGGATTTGCTGTTTTTAAATGTCCAGCATTTGGAATTGAACATAGGACCTACCTTCATCAACTAGCATGTCCGATATGGTTTTGAAAGCACTAATTGTATAATACTTGATCAAGGATTGGTGAATCATATGCCATGACTGGAGGTTAATGGTTTTAAAGCTCAAAGGTTGTTGAAGATAATGTCCAGAATATAATTTCACCGAGATATGCTGATTTCAATTTCAAGACTTTTCAGTCATCTGTTTAGAGATCGTCCCTCATTTCAGATTTGGCCAAACCATGAATTGCCATGGGCTCCAAATTAGGTTTACACAAACTATGATTCAGTTGAAGCAATCAGAATTTATATTAATGAATAAGGGAGAAAGGAAAATCAGAGAACCATAAAGCAGGCTAGACAAATAGAAATTTAAACGTTTAAAGAATAAGAGTGTTGTAAAACAGTTTTTCTCAGATTTTCCTGGGGCTGATGTACTATATTCCTTTTAAAAGGCTTGAAAACCTGATAATCAATCAATGAAAAATGTGTGCTGCTTCATGTCCTTTCTCCAGATACACCCATTTTAAAAGCCTTTTTTCAAATACCCACACTTTTTGCTGCAAAATCACCCAAACAATTTTTTATCTGCCTGTTTTCTCTTAATAATGTATGGAGATTTTTCCTCAAAGAAGAGATTGTTACATCTGTACAGGAAACTAAATTGTGTAAGATAGTGCAAAAGCTTTAGATGGATTGGGTTTCTCTTCCATTTTCCTTAAAATCATGACAGCTACATACTGTTTAGGTAGAAAGAGAGCCCAAATGTTTTCCAGAAGTGAACTGGTCTTCTGAAGTTCTCCTCTGAACTTCTGCATCCTAGACCAATAGACCAATCTCCCTCCCCCCCCAATTTACAGGTAGTCCTCGACTTACGACCACAATTGAGCCCTAAATTTATGTTGCTAAGTGAGACATTTGTTAAGTGAATTTTGCCCCATTTTATGACGTCTCTTGCCACAGTTGCTAAGTGAATCATTGCAGTTGTGAAGTTAGTAACCTGGTTGTTAAGTGAGTCTAGCTTCCCCGTTGACTTTGCTCATCAGAAGGTTGCAAAAGATGATCACATGATACAGGAACAGTGCAGCCGTCATAAATATGAACCGATTGCCAAGCATCCAAATTTTAATCACGTGACCATGGGGATGCTGCAACAATCGTGTGAAAAACGGTAATACGTCACTTTTCTCAGTGAACAGTCACTAAATGAACTGTTGTAAGTTGAGGACTATCTGTATTTCTGTTTCCCAGCCACCTCCAGCCCCCCAATTTTTCTCGTTTCATTGAAAAGTCCAGGTCCAGCACCATGCTTAGAGAAGTGACAATATTTTATTAGTTTGGTGGGAGGGCTGGCAATTGAATTCCATCTCCTGCTTTGTCTTTCTGACGTTGCCTTTTGATTCCAAAAACCTCAGCTTAAAAACGAACAAGATCTAAAAGCTAAACAGGGCAGGGCGCGACAAGGTGACTATGAAACACAGAAGAAGACATTCAAGGCAGAAATCCTGACATTCTTTTTTTTCTCAAAGATGGAGTATGCCGGTGGTGAGGGGTGAGGGCCTCCCACACCTGCAGATTTTTGAGTCTGGAAATAACTTTCCTCAACTATGTGAAAATGAAAAAAAGAATGGATCCCTTTTATCTCTCCAATGTGGTTCTTAGCCCAGTGATTTCTATGCCTGTCCATACAAATTATCCCAGCCTCACCAAAGAAGTGCTATGTTTGCATTCACCGGATATACAAGTAAGTTAAGCATAGGTTTTATCACCATCTGTTAGGGATGCTTCAATGTGAGTTTCCACACACAGCAGGTTTGAATGGTCCCTTCCAAATTTTGATGGCTCTCCAATTTGGCCGTCCTCCAGTTGTGTGGATTTCAACTCCCAGAGTTCTCAGCAATGTTGCCTACCCCTGCCCTAGGGGATTCTGGGGCACCCAGATTGGAGAAGGCTGGATTATGGCTTAAGGGGAACCAAGATAAAAGCATCTCTAAGGTTACCTCTTCTAAGTGATCTCAGGAACGTTGTTAGTAAAGGTATCTTCCTTGGTCCAACTCCCCCCCCACCCCAAAATAGCAAAATGGTTCAGTCCAAAGGCAGCAATAGGACTATTACTCCACACCAGTCTGTCTAGTAGCTGCTAGGAATTACAGATCATTTGGCAGAGATGGCACCAGAGATGGTCCAATTGGTCTCCTACCTTCTCCCATTTGGGATTGCTGAGATGGTTGATCTCAGAAGGTATTTTTGCAAAGTGATCAAGACATGTGGCAAATTGCTACTGGAAGAAAAACTTCCCACTGTAAGAAACAAAACAACAACAAACAAGCATATATGCTTATGAGCTTAGCCCTATAATGGAACTTAACTTCCCAGCTTCAGAATTTCTGGGCCAGGGAAAGGATCAGCCTTATGGGCTGTGCTCACACAAGAAGCTTAATTTTGTTCCTGAATTAACCTGTTTTTTGGGCTTGCGCAAATTGCCGAACTGTAAAATGATGAGTCACACAACTTGTTAAGCTACCAAAAACAAATAAACCAACAACTTAAAACAGCTTAGCATATTGTGTGAATTCAGCTGCTGTTAGGTTTGTAACTAGTTAACTGAACGGTGTGAACGTAGCCAAAGTCTGTTTCAGCAAACCTGCTTTTATGCTTTACGTAGTGCGAGGAGGGAAGTAGTAGAAGAAATGTGTCTGTGTAGAAAAAGAGCTTCAATCTTTGTATCTCCCCTCTCCAAACTAGTCAAGTAAAGTGCTGATGGATGTTAACCTATCCCAATCTACTCAGCCTTTGGCTGGCTTTCCAATAAATTAGGTGCAAGGAGTGAAGAGTTCAGTGTAGTAAGGAAGCAGAAGATAAACAGAGATAGAAAAAGGCAAGCAAGTGAAGGGGGAATCAGGTTTCTATGTCAGAGACAAGCTAGGTTAGCAATGGGCAATTCTTCCGTGCAATGGTACCCCTTGTCTGACAGGTATGCTGGAAGTGTTCCATTTTCCAACAAAATCCTGAAAAGTGGAGTCACAAATGTGCCATGGAATATGTAGGGTCTGCTGCTTTGTGGAAAACCTTGTGATGAGTGTTTCTAGGGGCTTGGAAGTGATGTCTGGTTGTGGGGATATTGAGTTATGGGCTATCATTTTAACATAAGATTTGGCTCTAGGTGAGTTAGGAAGATGCACATGTGAAAGACCCACGATCAATGAATACTGGTTACTGATTGGAACATACAAATTTTAAGAGTGTATGATGTGACGTTTGGTGCCCCTATAATTCCATGATGATTCTGTAGATTCAACTGTTTCTCTTCACAACATGCAGTTACCCATTGAGATGAGTTGGCTTAAAATACAAGGAAAGAAACCTGACACTGGCTGTTTGGTGGGAATGCCTCGGTTCACACAACATGCTGAACTAGATGACTGAATTAACCAATGTGGTGGGTTTCCACAGCACATCAAATCAGAAAACTAACCAAATCGGATGTGTTTGCCCAACATGCTAAGCCATTAAAAAACACAATGCAAGATTAAAATGAACCCAGCTTAGTGCTTCAGCAAAGATAGACCCTAGGTGTGTAACAAAGCTGTTTAAGCATGTTGTGTGAACGCAACCATGGTGTGCATGTTGATATAGGCATTTAGACCTTGTGAAGTGAAATCGAAGAAGTGGGAGAAATGGCAAGTAGAAGGCTAGTAGCAGTAGCTAGAAAGCCCAGAAAGTGTGAAGCAGGATGGCAAATGGAAGAACAAAAACAAGGCGGATGAGGTGGTAGGAGCAAAGCTCAGACGGGGCACAGAAAAAGAGAAGGGCTCTGAGTGAAAAAACACCCTTCTCCTGTTCTACATGCCAACCCCTCCATCCACATGGTCATGCCCACCACCCCAATCATGCCACAAGCCCCAGCCCCAAGGAACTCAGTTCATCTCCTCAAAGAATTTGTACGTGGGGTTTTCATAGCCATGGTTTTGCATTTTGCTCAACTGCCGCTCCTCGGGGCTAACCATGGGATCCACCTGCCAGAGGGGGAACAGAAAA